GCGCAGCTCGCCGTCATTTGTCGGCCAGACCCGAGTTCGTTAGCTCGATGAACTTCGACCGTTCTGTGACGATGTCGCCAGGTATTCAATAAAGCCGTGCCGACGATCCGAACGACGGTGTTAGCTCGGAATTCCGCGCCCACGCGTCGCCTCGGAATAAAGAGACGCTCTCTGCGTTCCATCCGTGCGCAAAAAAGGCGAAGTCGGGGGGTGGAGGAGTCGAACGGAGAGAATTACGTAGATTCGAGTATCTGCTGCGATTCATTCTCTCTCTCTCTCTCTCTCTCTCTCTCTCTCTCTCTCTCTCCTCTCTCCTTCTCTTTCTCAGTGAAGCTGTGGACTTAATCGACCGAGGTTGGATCAGAAATTCATAAGCTGAAAAATGTCGAAGATGAAGAACTTTGCCCATTTCCTACCAACCGCATACATCGGCTGTCAATCGCACAGCATTTTAAATAGATGATAATAGAGATGTAAAAAATTCATTAGATTCTCAGAAAGCCGCCAACAACAGAGTTTTGGCCTTTCAACGATGTCGCTTCACTATTACTACTCGTTCGGCAAATCGTCACCATTTATCGAAGCATTTTGGCGTCTTCAGAAGGTATTTGCGTATGTCTTCGGCAAGATATATTTGGTATATCCTAGATGCCAAATATTATATTTGAAAAAAAAATACACCGAAAACTATGCAGCATCTGTAGATAGTCTGAATTTTTGTATAGAATAGGTGAAGTCCTTTACGCTTCTTTTTTTCGCTTTTAAAGTGTCTCGTAAATGTTCCGAGTTGGAAAATGTATCGCGCATACATCATTCTTCCGCCTTTTTTCCTCTTTCTCTCTCTCTCTCTCTCTCTCTCGTCTCTCTTTTCTTATCTCGTTTCTCCAAAACGAGCTTACACGCTTCTCATTTACATCCGTTTCGCACTTTCATCTCGAGCCGTTGCAAAGTCGCAATTTGCTAGGCGAGGAACGCGGACGGTTTTTCTGGCATCGATTTAGTTAAGAGTATACTTTCTAGCTGATTTAGCGAAGCATGAAGCGGCGCGACGAGGTGCAGCGAGAGAAAAAAAGAGAAAGAAGGCACAGCCGACGACGACACGCAAAGGACGGTCGGTATCGATCGAGAAAGTATCACGTGCCCGAGGAGACGAGAGGAGAGGAGACTGCATTCGGCTTGCTGGCCGCTGGGGAAACCCTCGCGCCGCGTCTAAACGTGCAATCTGAATGTACGTGTGTGTGTGTGTGTGTGTGTGTGTGTGTGTGTGTGTGCGGCAAAAGGGCCTCCGCACCGGCGCGGCGATGGGATAAATGTACCGATAGGACAAGCGCGCAGAGACAGAGAGAGAGACAGAGAGAGAGAGAGAGAGAGAGAGAGAGAGAGAGAGAGAGAGAGAGAGAGAGAGAGAGAGAGAGAGAGAGAGAGAGAGAGACAGAGAGAGGGGGGAGGGAGGGCAAATAGAACCGTTCTTAACTTTGCTCTCGATTGTACGGGTCTCGAGAAATTATCAAGTCGCTTACACATGCAGGAGGTGCGATTAAACTTTCCGCCGGGATACTTCTTGCCGTCGCGAATAATAAGCAGCCTTGAATTAATCAGGACACCAGGTGAGGCGTCGGAAGAAAGGGCACGTTCCCATTAAAGTAGACGCGCGGCTGGTCGATTCGTGCGGCGCGGCGGAAGCTCCGGTTAAACGGCGACAATTAATAGCCGTATTGCCATCGCGTGTCGATGAGAAAGAGAGAAAGAGAGGGTAGAATTGATCTGTAGTTTAACCTCTTAAAGTTTACGCAGTTACACCTACACTGATAAAAGTATAATATAGTTTTGCAACAGCAGAGAAGTGTTGTGCTCGAGTACAGCAGCGAAAAAAATTAAGAGAGAGAGGAGGAGGCTTATTGCCGAAGCCCTGAGAATAATTCAGCTGCGGAAAGGTTGAAAGCGTGACACGGTCCCTTTCTCGTCGTTCATTCGCAATTAAGCGGCCACGAGCGCGGTGATTATTGGCGGTGCGTTTAATTTGCATGATAATACAGTCTTTTGTTCATCGATATTCACGTTGTCATTCTCCTCCTCTCTCCCTCACTCCCTTCCTACCTACTTGCGCGGTACTGCGACACTCTGCCGCTCGAGAAAATATCAACGACGACGACGACGACGACGACGACGACCACGACGACGACGACGACACACAGTAATCGCGCTTCCGCAAATCGACTTTTAATCTGAATACGTACCTGCTTTTCATAAAAACCAGCTGTCCGCCGCTGTTAAGCCGTGAAATGCCCGTGTAGCCGTGTGTGTCGAGCTTCGGGAAAAGATTACTTCCCTCATTCCCTCCCCTGCCTCCCCCCCCCCCGCCGCCGCATCTCGAATGTCTTCAAAAGCGAATAGTCTCATGGCGTCGTCGGCGCGCATTTCCCTCCGGACAAAAGTGATATCGAAGTGCACAGTCGAGATCGAGAAAATATGTGCTTTTTGTCGCAGGCGGATATGTGCGTATGGGAGGCGTTTATCGCGTAAATCCATCAACGGATGGATGATTGATATATTTAATATATTCGGCGTACAATCGGTCTCTCTCGCGGTATACTCGCAACGCGCGGAGAAGGGCTCGAGGAAAGAGGGAGAGAGAGAGAGAGGGAGAGAGAGAGAGAGAGAGAGGGAGGGAGAGAGAGACGCATGGCGCACGCGAGGAACGCGTGCGCGCGGTAATTCTTCATGCGAAATTTCCATTCCTTAACGCATCGTGACTCGATAATTCACCCGGCGGACGTTTTTTATTTGCTTATCGCCGAACCACAAGCAGCGCGCGCGGCGTCCGCGACCTTTGACGTTCCGCATAACGGCCGGCGGCCACCCTTCCTCCGCATCGTGCGGCACCGGTGTTTCCTGCCGGACGCATTGTGCGCCTGCGAGAAAATTATATCGCGATCGCGCTCGCGATATCTCGCGGCTCCGTATTTGTCGCCTTCTGCCCGCCGATAAGTCAACGGCTCGATTAAAAACGACCGGCACGGTCGTTTCCTCGCTCGAGCTCTTTCCTCCCTCCCTTCCTCTTCCTTCCTTCCTTCCCTCTCCCTCTTTCGTCGCGCGCTTTACTTATGTTAATGCACTCGGAAAAATTCTGCAGCGACTGCGAATAGTACATCATGGCGCTTGCTCGCGCGTGCACGCGCGCGCGCGCGCGCGCGTCGCATTAGTCTCAAGCGCCTTGACAACCGCGTTGTCGTCCAACGTGTGTCAGATAACGCACATACGAGGAGGAAAATCGTCCCGGCCGACCTTTAAACGTCTATTTAAAGTGCTCTTCGCGCCGTTTCGATTGCGATGCGGCACAGGTCGCGGGTCGAGGCAGAAAAACGCAAATGGCGGAGACTAAAGGCTCGTCTACATTAGCTGTTAAGAGTAAGGCTGTAAGGTTGCAAGACACGAAATGAAATATTTTCATTCGCTGACAGCGCTTACGGTTACAGCCTTGCAGCCTTACTCTTACAGCTAATGTAGACGAGCCTTTATACACCACGCGTGATTTCCTCGGGGGGGGGGGGTGGCCCGAGTGATATTCGGGAAAACACGGCTTGTGTTGCGAGTATTCCTTCGTGTATCTCGAAGTCGCTCCGTTGTCTTATCTCCGAGGAATTCCTCGGCTCGGAATTTCTGCCTCGAATCTCACCACCGGTTCCGGAGGTTACGAATATTCTCTCATTTGTCATCCGTGTGTTTTCCGTGGAGAAACGTATTTTCGTCGGAATCGAACGCGCACGTTACCGCAGCGCGCCCCCGAGTCGACGCGTGTTGCTCGTTTTGTAAATTATGCAGAGTCCGATGTCCTGAAAAATTTATGCTCTCGCGGATCCACTTTAACTCACAGAGATGATCCCCAAGTGTGTAACTCTTGGAGATGCTTAACTCGAGGGGAGGTTTATGCTTTTATTATTAAATCCGTGCGCACATACATACATACATACTGATTGCAAATGTACACTCTCAGATACTCGCGGAACTCTGAGCCATTATCATTTCTTTCGTTGCTACTACTATTATTACTACTACTACTACTACTACTACTACTACTACTACTACTACTACTACTACTACTACTACTATTACCGCGGCTGGTTTTTGCGCCTGACAGCAATCGTGACGAAATCGCAGTTGCGACGCCTGGTTCGTCGTTCGCCGTAACGACGGCGTCGCCGGAAACGCGACTAAACAGGTGTTCACGTCGAGCCGCAGCCGCCCTCTCCGCGCTTCGTGACGAGTCCCTTTTCCGCCTCCGTGCCTCCTCCCCTTGGTCGGCACATTTCCTAAAACGCGCAGCGGTTATTCTCGGCGGTGCGTCATGCGAGCGACGACGACATTCCGTCTCTGTGAATTCACTTTCGACAAAGCGGCGGGGAGGGGGGAGGACTTTCTCCGCCCGAACGCGGCCGTAATTCCCGACAGTGAAAAGTGGGATGATTATGTGTCGAAGAACGTGACGGACGAGCTCGGGGAAACTCGGAGGTCCCGAGGAGAGATAACGAGAAAACGTCCTCGCCCAAGCTCCGGCGGAGTCGCGTCTCGAAACAATGCCTGAGTCGCGTGCCAAGCCTGATGTAACGCGAATGCGAGTCTCTCTCTCTCTCTCTCTCTCGAGTCAGTCGCGCGAGCGTGCGATTATACAGTTATTAAACCGGAATCAAATATATCCGGGCGCTTATTCCCGCTCCCGGTGTTGAAGTATTCGGACCGGCGGACTTAATTAGCCGTGCTCTCTCGTGCAGGTGAACTGCGACGCGACGCGAGTCTTCTTCGTTTCATTTGTCCTCGTGTAATTCGCCTCGTGAACGTGCGCGCGTTGGGCGATCTATTTCGGGCGGACGTCGTGTAAACGACGACGCAACGCGCTCTCTCGCCGCGCGTTAGCGCGCTCCGCACTTTGTTCCGACTAGTCGAACGTGCTTGTTCCCGCGCAAATACGTCCGATCTAATTGGCGGGTAATTTTGGTTTGCAGCGTGGACCGGGACCGGCTCCGGGAGCGAGAACGACAGGCCCGCGCGGCGATGTCGGTCCAGGCCGAGCAGGCGGGAGCAGGAGGTGGTCCTGATCCCAGGCACCATCATCATGGCCACCATAACCACGCGCACAGCAACCTGCACGCGTCCAACTCATCGCTCTTCCGTGCTCCTGTCAGGGTAAGTGCGCGACGTTTTCTAATTACTCCGCCGTCCGACGAGCTGTGCATGCACGATTGTATTAGCGCTCGGAATGGCAGCAGCGGAATCGATTGAGCGCCGATTGAGAATCTTACACCCGAAAGAAAACAAAAAAAAAAAGTAATTTCGGAACAAGCGGAATCATCTCAATTTTAGAGGATTTTATTCTTATATATATGGCCTCAAGAGGATTTTCATCTAAGATTCAGAGGAAGATATTACAAACACATTATTAAAATTAGACGGATTGTATGTCATGTGTATAATGCAAATCTTATCGATTTTAATATAAATTTCCTCTTATACGTGGATTATTTAATCCTTTTTCGAGAGGATTATTATTTATTCTTACTGTATTTTATTCTTGCTGGTTAAGTTGAAAAAATTATTATAATGTATAGCGAAAAGTAATATATATATATATGTATATATATAGATGTACTCTGGCTTCAGCTCCACAATAAGTAGGCACGAATGAAATAAGGTCGTCATAACAAATAAATTTCCAATTTCCAGTATTATTATGGACTTGATAGCTACAAAAACGTTCATTATAACTAATTGTATGAAACATAGTTAAAAAAAAGAATATATTATTCAACTTCTTGCAACAAATTATAAACTGTACTTGACCAAATATGGGTAAATTATCTTCGTTTACATATTACAGCAACACCTTTTTTAAAAAGCGTTCCAAATATTCTGATCCATGCGTATGATTATTTTTTCATTCATGTTTGGAGGTAGAACATAACTGAGCAAACGAAGCCGACATATTCAAATCAACATATTCCTCCTCATACAAGAGAAAAATTAATTGATACAAGAGGAAATCCTCTTGAAATCAAAGGAAAACAGAATAATAGATAAATGGTTCACTTTAATCGCTTTTTCGAAAGAGGAATCCTTTTTCTGTAAAAGGTTTCACTTAGAATATGAGACTACGCGAAAAATCACTTTACAAATAGAATACTTTTTTTGGGTGTAATCTGGTTTTGTTACGTGTTGTTACACTCGTCCACGGCGGGCTTATCTAAAAATGTATTTTTAAACCGATATATATATGTCAGACGTGCGAGATTTGAAGAAGCGATTCTGCGGTTATTCCGGAGAATTGATTAGTTCGTAAAGTATGGATGTGTTTTCGGTCCACCACTAGCGCGTTGAAACTGTCTCTGGTTCTACGTTAATTTCCATCGAACTCAAAAAACGAATCTCGAGGTGTATAATACTGCGCGGATTATTGTTCTTCGATGCTACAAATGTTACCATCATTTTCCGCGTTGAAGAAGATGCATTTCAGATTTTCATTTGATATTTCATAGTGTCAATACTTTATCAGCATTTAATCTTCATTATCAATTTCAATAAGTAGTGTATTAATTATGCAGCAATTGCAGATGGAATATGCGCGACCAGCAAATATGCATTAACACTGATACGGATAAATAGCGAGATCAATAATAGATTGATGCAATACAAGCTGCTTTTTCATAATTTATCTAGTATTATCTATTATCGAGGTTAGAAATTTCAATAAAAAAGAGAGTCGGAAATTTCGGTGTAAAATTTGAAGATTCGATAGGATCGACAGGAGACAGAGAGGGGGGGAGAGAGAGAGAGAGATCATTTTGAGGGACAAAAATACATCATCAGAGGCACAAACGAGCGCGTTTGTGAGACTCGAATAGCTCCTAAATTTTGACTCGGGGCGATAAGCAACGGCGGTCCTGATAGCGCGGGTCGCCGCGGAGCCTCGGAATGTTTTGATGAAAGCGTCCGCCTGTCAAGTTTGCGACGCAGTTTGTAGGATTAGTGCCAGAGTCCAGATTTCGACCTGGGTAAATACGTTGGTCGTCCTTGAAACGCGTGCGTCCTGAAAGAGGAACCGGCTGCGAGGAAATACTGCGTCGACCGCTTGAGAGATGTCCGCCAGTTTAAATATTACGTGGTGTCGTCATCGAATGCCTTCGCATTGATCCTCCGATGGCCAATATTCTCTAAATATAAATACTGCGAGGCTGCACGTACGAATATATATATATATATATATATATATATATATATACTGATCCACTAATGCCGCAACGCGATAAGGTATTTCCGCGAATGGAAATTAAAACAGCTGCCGTCCGGTGACCTTTAATTTATTGCTGGCGATCATAGCTTTTTTCTTCCTCGCCGACGTGGGCACGAGATAACGCCGCGTCAGTTAAATTGACACACACTTATCCGCATATACACACATGCGCGCGCGCGCTCGTTTGGAGCATTTCGCGGCGCGGTGGTGAGTTCTTTTTTCACTCGTCGAGATGACGCGAAAAATGTGTTTTGTGCCGCGAGATGAGAGTAACGATGAATACTGAACCTGTCGATCAATTTGGTCGCGCGCTCGGCGATTGTATCGCGCGCATGATGCACTAACATGGTGCATTCGACGTTATCGCAATGTGTCGATCCCGCTCTAAAACGGACGCCGCGAATCTATCTCTTTCGTCGCGACCGTGCGCTCGCTTCATTAAGCGAACGCGACCACCACGACGATGACGACGACGACTGTGTTTTCTATCCGCGGCGGTCGCGAAGTCGCGAATAATTAACGGGCGGAAAGGAGGTGAGAAAATTGCGGTGACGTCCGTTCCTTATCGCCTGTCATCTTTATTCAAGCAGAATCCCCGACCCTGCGCGCGCGCTGTCCGATCGTTTAATGGAGATCCTTTTCGTCTTCTTGCGTTTTAAGAGCCATTTTGTCCTTTTCTCGCGTCTTTTCACATCCGTCTAGTTAGTAGTCGAAGGCACTTCGCCTAGTGGATTCACTGACCGCTTCAATTAACGTTCACCGATCAGTCTCTCCGTCCTCGTCCTCGTCGTCGTCGTCGTCGTTGTCGTCCGCTAGATACGTTCCGCTTAATGAATTCGCTTTCGATCGTAACCGTTATCATTCTCGTTAGCGCTATTTATTTCAGACCCGCGAATAAAGCCGTCATATCCAAATGCTGGCGCTGCTTCGCAGGGGCAACAATTATTGTTATTCCCGGACCAGCCAGACAATATTACGACGACGACCGGGCAAAAGTCGCGCAGCCGCTACATATATAGACGAAATAATCCAGGAACCCGACTAGAAATTTTTATCCCATGGTCCTGAGGATCAGGCTAACCTCATTTGGACATTAGGTCCAAATAAGGTAATACTATCGGGTCCTAGTAAGTCATGTAACGCAGCGTGGATATCAGGACCTTAGTAAGGATTCATAGTTAGGTCCTTGTTGAGGAGTTACCTTATGGAATCCTTATTACGTTTTTTTCCAAAATATGGCTCCAAATTATGGCTCCTGATTACTCGCCACGGCTATATTGGATGATGACATTAGAAATAAGAAATGACACGCTGAAAATTTTTTCATGTCATTTCCAAATAAAATGATATTTGCATGAAGTAATATTTTAGATCGCTCGAGCATACTTGTAAAATGTTTCGGAAAAGAAACATAAAATGAATATCATAAGATCATCAAGTGTCACAAGATGACAAGACATAAAGTAGTGTTAAAGAGAAAAGTTGCATGTCACGTTAATTTTACAACTATTTATTGACTGCTAAGAAGAGGATAGTTTCTATAGCCTTTTACAAATATATTCAAGTGATCTAAAGTGTTTTTTTTTTTCAGTGCAGACATCTTTATATTTGGAAATGACACCCAAAAATTGTTTTGTTAAAACATGATAATACAAATCATATTAGGTGACGACATGAATAAGAACCTGATCAACTGAACCAAATTATATCATGCACTAGGTTGGTACATTAAGGTCCTAATGCGGACCCAATCATTATAACCTTATAAAGGTCTTCCTTACTCATTTTTGTCGTTAAGACATTACAAGGACTGACTTACTTAGAATTACCTTTCATTCACCCTATCAAGTCCTTATCAATATTGGGTGAACCTGATCAAAATTTCTGGTCGGGACGATTCGCCTCAAACTCAATCGCAAAGTCCCGATCGAGAGCGGCCACGTGATCACAATACGACGACCCATCATTGGCGCGTTCTCTCGGAAATCTCTCGCGACTGGAAACAAACTCGGATGGATCTCCTCGTAGACCGATAACTCTCCGGAGATGCGTCGACTCGATCTCGATGGCGGACACGATCGTGGGTGTCGGTTTAATGCGCTTTCGAGGGCCGCATCCGCGCGACTTCCCTTCGCGTCCGGCCACCGGCGGGAATATTTCACGGGCTCTCGAGCAATGAGAGTCCACGATCGTCTGGGCTTTCTGGCTTCAATCTCAACCGGCCGATAGCGGCGGCCGTCTTAAGGGGGGCCTATAGGGCGACCCCGTACGACCGTTCCGGCGAAGGACCCGTCGCCAGGTCCCTCCGCTCGCTCGTAAACACGACCCTGTTCCTTGCCCCTCGCCGTTCTCCTTACCGCGGGGTAGCGAAATTTATCCCGATCCCAGCGACGCGCTCTCTCGAGCCCGGAGAGGGCGAGAAAGGGTTCGGCGCCTTTTCCCCGCGGAAAAGCCGCACCATGAATAAATCGAAGAACGATTCGCTCGCGCGTTCTTGGCTTGGTTTTACGCAGAACGATTATTACGCAGGAGGACGGAAGGAGGTGGTGGTCCTGTCGGGGATCGCCCGTCCACGCTCGACGACCCTTCGACTTTCGACTGTAGTTTCCGGACAGTAGGATCATAAGGACGACGACCCTCTCCCGGGTCGCGAGAAGTTGCCCCGCTCGGCTCCGAGAGAGCAAGACTCTCTCGGAGGTGTGAGACATATATTCGTTTTATTTTCTTTTTTCTTTGCTTGTCCGCCCCTTTTTCTTTTCCTTTCGTAAAGAATGCCGTCGATCTGTCGCTGTCAATAATGCCTTTGAAGTAAAGCACGCACAATTGTAATAAAAATATTGAATTTATTCTTGCTTCTAATACCGAACCATTCATATCGTACGAGGTGTGAGTATCGCAT